AAAAAAAAAAAAAAAAAGAAAAGGAAGAAAAAGCAAGGACACTACTAAAAATATCCAAAAGAATAGAGAAAAAATGTAAAAGTATAATCCTTACAGTAATGGCACGATAAAGAAAGGAGATGCCAGACAGGTAAAAAATGGGGCTGAAGAGCAGCTCTCTCTGGCAACAAAACTTTAAGAAAACTCAAAACACTGAATCTGTATTAGCAGTTGCTATCTTAGAAAAACTTAACTTCACTGCAGACATGTGTAACCCATTCATGAGCTGTTAATAGAAAAAAAAACTGAAAGGGCATCAGCTTTTCATAATGTAGATTTTTCTATTATAATTAGATGACAAATGTAATGCTGTTATGGTCAGCAACAGGAAATGTGGAAACCGTGTTGAACACCAACGCACACTTTGCTATATCATTACAGAACTGAAAGCAAACAGTATTATATTAACATTGCTGTGATAACATTTTCCATAAAAAAGCAAAATAGATAAAGTAATCTCTGAGAATGTGAAATACTTACACCCTTAAAGGACTGGATAAAAGTTTTCCGAAAATACTACTGTACAAGGCTAAGTTTAACTCCCTAACACATCAACAGCCAGAACATAAAAAACAAAACAAAAAAAGCTTCAGCGTCATGTTAACATTATTTGCAAATGAAACTAGTTATGGGGTATAGTAAACACACTACAGGGTAGGGAGCGAATTCAGGCAGATTAAGACAGACTGGGGAAGTGGGCAGATCTGCACAGAATGCAATTTAACAAAGATAAGTGCAAAGTGCTGCACCTGAGGAGAAAGAATCACCAATACATCTTATAGACTAGGAAGAACCATTCTAAGTAGCACATCAGTGGAAAGGGATCTCAGAGTCATAGTTGATGCAAAAATGAACACAAGTCGCCATTAAGACAAGGTAATAAGTAAGGCTAACTGCACTCTTTCTTGCATTAGTAGGTGCATCATGAGCAGGTCTAGGGAGGTGATGCTTCCCCTCTATGCAGCACTGGTGAGGCTGCAGCTGGAGTACTGCGTCCAGTTTTGGGCGCCGCACTTCAAGAGGGGTGTGGATATGCTGAAAAGGGTTCAGAGGAGGGCTACTTGTACAGCTGAGGGCCGGCAGGTAAGATGAAGACAGACCGAGGGACCTGAATCTCTTCAGGCTCCATGACAGAAGGCTAAGAGGTGATCTTGTGACTGTCTACAAACTCATCGCGGGGGGTGGGGGGGAATGTCAGCAGGGAACAGGGGATACTCTGTTTACCAGGATGCCTGTTGGTGTTACTAGAAACAATGGCCATAAATTGAAGGAGAGTAATTTTGGTTGGGCATCAGGAAAAAATTCCTTATGGTGATGGTTGTCAAAATATGGAATGGGCTTCCAAGGGAGGTGGTGCTTTCCCCTACCTTGGGGGTGTTCAAAAGGGGATTAAACAAGCACCTGGCTGGGGTTACTTGACCCCAGTGCTCTTTCCTGCCCAGAGCAGGGGGTTGGACTCAGTGATCTAATAGGTCCCTTTTGACGCAAGAAATCTATGATATAGTTCACTTACGTGCACAGTCTGGAATTCCACTACTCCAACCAACACCATTGCCATCAATCACACAATTAATTGATGATCTTCCAATTAATCTGTACCTAAGCAGGAGAAAAAAAGAAAACCCTTTCAAATAAGTTACTGGAAGCTCCCAGCCAGCATCTGATACACATAGATATACTTCTGTTCCACCAACAAAATACAGCAGCAGCAAGTTTTAAGCTGCAACTCTCTTGAGGTCCTTTTTATGAGTGCCACCCAGAGAGTGCCATACAACATCAGCACAATTAGGCACGCAAACATGAGTTGCAAGATAAACCCAGAGACGTCAAACAAAAATCCACAGGTGTTGTGTTTCTGAGTTCTTTGCAACAGAAAAACTGATCTGTTTTACTGTAGGCAAAAAAAAGGGCAAAAGCTAAGAGCTAGCATTTTCCAAGGTGTGCCTTGAATCAGTCCAGGGGGTTCTTGAGTGTACAAAGGCTGAGAAACACTGATCTAGAGAAACCAAAAAAGCTATTAAGAGTGTATTCCATGCATTTCATTCCACAAAATGTTCCTTAGTAGGAACAAAGATGATTTTTAAAAGTAGCTCTTGGAATTTAAAAAAATAAATAGCTAAATAAATTAAAATTAAAAAATAATAATGCCTGAACAAAGACTGCTTCAGGTACATTGAAAAAGGCTGTTGTAACTGAAAAATGTAAATCTAAGATGCATGACCAACAGATCAAGGGAGGTGATGCTCCCCCTCTATGCAGCACTAGTCAGGCCGCAGTTGGAGTACTGTGTCCAGTTTTGGGCACCGCACTTCAAGAGGGACACGGAGGATCTGGAAAGGGTTCAGAGGAGGGCCACCTGCATGATTAGTGGTCTCTGTGAAAGACCCTATGAGGAGAGGTTGAGAGATCTGGATCTCTTCAGCCTATACAAAAGACAGCTAAGGGGTGACCTTGTGGCTGCCTATAAATTTATCAGGGGAGGACAGCAGGGAATTCGGGATGCACTTTTTCCAGAGCGCCCCAGGGAGTACCTAGGAATAATGGGTACAAACTAGTGGAGAGTAGATTTAGGTTAGTCATTAGGAAGACATTTTTTACAATAAGGGTGGCCAGAGTCTGGCATGTGCTTCAAAGAGAGGTGGTGCTGTCACCTAACTTGGAGGTCTTCAAGAGGAGGCTTGGCAACCATCTGGCTGGGGTTGTCTGACCTCAGTTCTCTTTCCTGCCAGGGGCAGGGGGGTCAGACACGATGATCCAGGGATGGGTCCCTCTGACTCTATAATCTATGAATTAGGTCATAAAGAGGACAAAAAAAACCAAACTCACTAGACTCAACCTTTTCGAATTGGACAGACAGGACAAGTATAACTTCAGACTTCTCAAGAAAACACAAATGGCCTTCAGAAATTTCTAAGTATAAAACATTCCAATAAAAACTTAAGCATTAATTTGATGCTAGCTAAAAAAAACAACACAGTAGTATGAGAAAGAAGGAAAAGCATTCATTGAAATCCTTACCCATCATTACAAGAAAATGTCACTGTTGAACCAAAACTAAGATCAGTCTCTATATGAATGGTACCATGTGTCAGGTCTCCTGGATGACCACAGAGCTTTGCTGAAAGGGAACAAAGATGGGAATTAAGTGTCCATAAGGTACCTTAACTTTGTACTTCCTAGTTTTCCAAGATCTGAATCTCAGTTTCTTGTAGGAATCCCCAGATCCCAAGTCCCCCTGGGGAGGGGGTGGGGGGCAGGAGCTATGACTTATCAATGTTATGCTTCTAAAAATATAGTTCTTTCTTTCCTGGCAACTCGCTGTGGACCGGCAACCAGTGGCTCACGGACCGGCACCGTTCCGCAGACCACCACTTTGAGAAGCACTGCCTTAGACTGAGCCACTCAGGTCACGAGAATGCCACCTGTTCAGCTACAGTCCAGGTATCCTGCTGCCATACCAACTGGTTATACTGTGTGTTTGTTGTTCACCCAAGTGGTAGTGGTCTAGGCTGCTTTTCCCCCCAAAAGGGTTAGTGCAGTAACTGGGCAGCTAAGATCATGTGGCTTATTACCAGAACAGCCTGATATTCAGGCACACAGAAAAAGATACTGGGGGAATATACCTACATTTTGGAAAGAGGGAAGGGAAGGGGGAATCTCAAATATGGATCACTAAGCTTATCCTGATCCTTATAAGACACTGCAACCTGGGCAATTGTGCAAGTTTTAGTGTTCAGAAAAACCCAGGCATACGAAAGTAAACGGTTCTCAAACTAGGGTCTCCAGTCACATCAACTACGTAACTATTTGAACTTTAACAGCTCTGCATGCTTACTCAGGACCACCTCCACTCCCTGCCTCACACCTATATTGTGTGACTAACAATACACAGCCCTTATTATAACCTGGAAACAGACTTACCACCTAACAGTTGCAAACAGACAGGTAGGGGCTGGGGGTCACAGCCACCCTGCCCTTCCCATGTTGCTGAGAGTAAAAGGACCCTGGGTACATGGGGGAGAACTGTGCAGGGAAGGGGACCCAGCAAAGAAAAGGACAAGTGCCCTAACATACCATTTTGTGATCTGGCTGTAGGAGTAGATTTCCTCCCAAACAATAGGGCTTGATAGCGATACTTACTGCAGGGGTGTCAAGTGAACAGTGTTCAAGGCAGTTTCACAAAAGACTCAAAAGCCGCAAGCCAGCCCCAACGCTATTACTGACCTGTGGTTTTTCTCTCAGTGGCATGGGCAGGTGGGGGGTCATGCAGGTCACTGAGGGAGGAAATGCTTTACCTCAGGCAGCATCTTGCACTTGCAGACTCGCCACGGCTGCAGCTGGATCCTTGTGTCCTGGGGCACGCAGAGCTTATGGGGCCTGTGGAGAGCCTCACTTCAGCAGCACA